GTTTTGAAAATGACAGCTGCGTCAAATTAGATTCAATTCAAGGGTTATTTAGACTCAGTTTGACGGCAAATATCACATTATCTTTGAAACATCTCAAACCACCAACATTCACTACCCACTCTCCTTCATATGTTGAATATTTATTCCAAACAGTCTTGGCCTTTACCACAATTGTTGCTGATTTGTCCTTCAAGACCTCAGCAAGAACATGGAAAGTTTAATATTCAAAACAATTATTTGAAACCTGAATGACAGCCTTATGCTTTACAATGTGGGTAAAGAAATTTGTGTCACTGTTTTCAGAGGCTGTGAGGTTAGGCATACTTGCCAACCTTCAGAACTCAGAAATCGGGGGGGGGGGGCTAGTGGGATCGTCGGAGCTGTTAGATTAACATTAACATGCTTATTGTAGTTGAAGTGCACTGCACTTGCGCCTGTAGCACCGTCGCCTTGAGGAGCATATATGTGGGGATGGACCCTGTATTTTACAGGAAAAGGAGTGAGCAACAGAGTAGATGTACGTTGACGATTCTTTGTTCTGTTTTCTGTGAATATCTGCCTCACCCTCTCAGACTTTGATTTGCGGCGCGCTACTAAAGAGACGGTGTTACCATGAAACCAAAACAATGGTGTAGCTGTATTAAAGGTCCGAGTGGAAACAGTCGTGTGTAAATCTGATTTTGTCAGGACAATCGGGAGAAATGCGGGAGAAATATGACCCGGGAGGAACCGGGAGAGGGCACAATGGAATTCGGAGTCTCCCGCGAAATCGGGGAAGGGTTGGACAAGTATGGGTAGGGTATGTCCGAATTGTGTGAGTTCAGACTACCTACTCATACGATAAGGCTTTGGGATCACGTATTTACATAATGATGATACAAGAACTGTCTTTCCTTACTGACAGGAATACTCTTACATACACAGTAGCTACAGTAAGAGCATTATTCTCTGCATTACACAGCACATTTCAAGCCGCAGCAGCTTCCTCACAGAACTGATGAGACTGAATGGAACAGAGATTAGCAGACTGAACAGAGATGCCCATCGATCAGTTGGTGACGATATGAACGCTGCACAAAGACGGCTGGATCAGAACCGGTGCTCCTCCCCTTTTTCTATTGAACGGGACTCTTAACGGCACATCTCAATTCAAGCCTGAGCCATCGATTAAATAATGCAGCGTTGCAATCTCGCCACTATTATCAGTCTTTGATTATGTTTGTGATCATCAAAACATCCACTTGCTGTCAAAGTTAAATCATTTACTTAAAGTGGACCTATTATGCTATATTGGAAACATATATTGTAGAAATACAAAACATGTCTGTGAAGTTTTTTGCTTAAAATACCAAACAGATCACCGCCATGCCTCATACTGCTCATACCCCTCTTTTGCAGCCCTGTTAGAGAAACGCGGATTTTGGGTCCTTAGCTTAAAAAAGAAAAGAAAAGAGAAGGCGGAGCTAATGCCTGATCAGAATTCTACCGGAGATAAAGTTAAATTCTGCTGTGATAAAACGCCACATCAAGGATTATTTCTGAAACAGTATGGAGCTCAAATGCTTTTTCTCTTGCGGGTTTATCACAAGGTGAGTTCCTTTTTTTATTTCCTGCTTTTTAAACACATGTGCTCTTCAGTACAGGTTAGCTCTGAGTGTTAGCGAGGCTTGCTAATGTAAACAAAGACGAGATTACGTCCAAAACACGTCAGGCATTGTTTCTGATAGCAACTCTCCGTGGGTCCGCCACCGATTTGACGTCATATTGGCAGCTAATCTGTATCCGCTCGTTGTACCCCCGTTTTTAAAAGATTTGGGTACGGAGGAAAAGAGAAAGGGTTTTATTTTCTGACACTGCGTGAGTTCCCCGACACAGCGGGGAGACATCTTTATGTATAAAAGGAAATCAGGGCAAAGTGCATTTTGCATGACAGGTCCCCTTTAAGAAATGTGTATTCTGTAAACCAGTGGATGTCTTATCTGTTTAGAGAAACTCGCCTCTGTGTCGAAAATCCTTCAAGATTTTAGCCTTTTTGGATCATGGCACAAAAAACCTAAATAAGTTCAGGGAAAAACCCCCAAAAGCATAATAGCCTCTTTTAATCTAAAACAGCATCTGGCTAAACGTATACTTACTCTGTCATGCCTAGCCTAAAATGTACGGAGAACACATTTTTAATCCTAAATTCTTGGTTTCTCTTTCTAAGGTCACATTGTTCTGTTGGCTTATCATACAGTGATACACTTATTTAAAAGTCCACCCTTATATATGTATTCTCTCTTGTGTTTCTTTATGCAGTGCATTATTGAGTAACAGAAGTAAATCATTACGTTCTTATTGTGTGGCTTTGATTAGATTACATTTGTTGAGTCATTCCAAACCCTAGTACTAGTAATAATCTATCCTCCCTACCCTACAAGCAGCATACCATAACCTCTCATATAATCAGCAGCCTATAAGATAGTCAATGTTTTATTTGGCAGCCAGTTTATAACTTATAACAGAGCTGCCACAGCTGGGGATTTTCTGTT